CATCAAACCCGTTGTCGTTTTTAAGGCATCCTCGCCTCCTTCTTAAATAGGCAGCTTTCGAGCCTCCTTTTTCAATAGGTCAAGCACATTGTAAGCCCTCTCCTCTTCCTTTTCTCCCATGGATGTAATTTTATTGTTATTTTTTGTTTAAAGTTACTTATACATAATATGTTAAAGTAAATTGGTTAATCATTTAATTGATTCGTCTATGATAGATTATTTTAAAATTAATTTTGATTAGGCTCCAAATTTTTTTAAAAATATAATAACAATAATCATGACTAATTATAACACTGTCATTGTCGGTCCCAAGCCCGGATGTAAAAAGTGAAGGGTTGCGTTAGGTAGTCGACAGCCGGCATAGAACTTGTCGAAAAAAATCATGACATGAATCATTTTGATCATTGTGTAAGCATTAGGGTGTCCACTGGAAGCGACGCGCTATATAGCCTGAATACAATGAAAAATGTGTTAGGGCCGCTACACTGGCGTCCAGGTGTAGTGTCAAATAAGCAAGGGTTCCCACATTACGGACGAATGCGGGTAAAGAAGTTAGTCCATGAAACTAATATTAGGATAGGATCTTGGAATATAGGTACTCCCAATGGTAAATTAATGGAATTAGTTGATATTATGATTCATAAGAAAATTAATATCTTATGTATTCAAGAAACTAAATGGGTTGAAGAAAAGGCTAAGGAGATTGATAATTTAGGTTTTAAACTTTGGTATTCTGATAAGAGTCACACTAAAAATGGTGTAGGTGTAATTATTGATAAGAGTTTGAAAGATAATGTTGTAAAAATTAATAGAGTTGGTGATAGAATTATAGCCCTTAAGATTATCATTGATACTAAGATTTTTAATATTATAAGTGCTTATGCTCCTCAAGTAGGTTTAGATACAGGGTCTAAGGATAAATTTTGGAATGATTTAGAAGACTTAATGCAAATGATACCTTTTGAAGAAAGAATTTTTATTGGAGGAGATTTAAATGGACATGTCTGTAGAGTGATAAAAGACTTCAGATATACTCATGATGACTACGATTTTGGAGTAACTAATGAAGAAGGTAGACCTATTTTAGATTTTGCTTTAGCATATGATTTTGTTATTACTAATACTTTATTCAAGAAAAGAGATGAGCATCTTATTACTTATAAGAGTGGATCTAATAAAACACAAATTAATTATTTTTTTGTGAGAAGAAGAAATCGTCGAGATTGTAAAGATTATAAGTTCATTTCAAGTGAGAATTTAAGTACCTAACATTTTTTATTAGTTATAGATTTTAAGATGAAGAGTTGTAAAATAAAGAATATTAGGACTCATAATCGTAAAATTTGATGGAGGAACCTAAAAGACATAAATAAAATTATTTTTATGAGTAAAATTCAAGATTTCAAAATTTGGTATATTCATGAAGAAGCAAATGTTATGTAGGATGAAGTAACAAACACTATTAAATAAGTGACAAAAGATGTACTTAGAGTATCAAAAGAAAAAGTATTTATAATTAAAAATAATTAGTGGTCGGATAATAACGTGCAAAAAAAGATAAAATCTAAGAAGTTATGTTATAAAAATTGGTTTAATTGTAAAAACTTAGAGAACTGAGAAAAATATTAAACTCTTCGTAGGAAGTCTAAAAGAACAATCTGTTATGCTAAAAATTCTACTTTTATTAATCTTTATGATATATTAGATACTAAAGAGGGTGAAAAATATATGTAAAAACTAGTCAAGCAAAGAGAAAAGAAAAGTAAATATTTAACCATATTTAACCTAAGTAAAGTTTATTAAAGATGAAAATAAAAAAGTGCTTTTCATGGAAAAAGATATTCAACATAGGTGGGTGAGTTTATTTGATAAAATTTTTAATAGATTTTCTGAAAATATGACCGACCTTAGTGATCTTAATATCGTTTATAATAATATAATGTTTCATTTTTACCGTCGCATTAATAAAAAAGAAGTTGAGGAGGCTTTAAAGAAAACCAAGGGCGGAAAGTCCGTAGGACCTGATGATATTCCAATTGAAGTGTGGAAATATTTAGGAGATTTGGGAGTTTCTTGGCTTACCAAACTTTTTAATGTTATTTTAAAAACTATAAAGATGCCTAAGGAGTGGAGAAAGAGTATTTTAGTCCTTATTTTTTAAGAATAAATGGGATGCACAAGAATGTGCAAATTATAGAGAAATTAAGCTGATGTGTCATACTTTAAAATTATGGGAGAGGGTAATTGAACATATGTTGAGACTTATTACAAAGATTTCTCATAATCAATTTGGTTTTATGTCGGTCAGGTCTACTATGGAAGCTATACATTTATTGAGAAGTTTGACGGAGAAGTTCAGATATAATAAGGAGGATCAACATTTGATTTTTATTGATTTAGAAAAAGCTTACGATAAGGTTCCAAGAGATGTCCTTTAGAGCGTTCTTGAGAAGAAAGGTGTTGATATGACTTATATTCAAGTCATTAAAGATATGTATACTAGAGTTGTTACTTGTGTTTGAAGTGAAGGAGGATTGACCAAATATTTTCCTATTTCTGTTGGATTACATCAGGGGTTCGACTTTAAGCCCATATCTTTTTGCTTTAGTTATGGATGGTCTTACTGGACATTTACAAGAGGATGTACCTTGGTGTATGTTTTTTGCTGATGATATCCTACTTGTGGATAAGATGAGAGAAAAAGCCCAGAAAAAACTTGAATTATAGAGGTCTACGTTGGACTCTAAAGGCCTTCATTTAAGTAGAACTAAAATTGATTACATGGAATGTAATTTTAGTAGTCGTAGATCTAGTAACAGAGTGTAACTTTGGGTGATCAAATTATTAAAAAGTGTGAACGATTTATATATCTCGGGTTTGTTGTTCAAAGCGATGGTGATATAGACAGGGATGTTAATAGTAGAATTCAAGTTGGTTGGTTTAAATGGAGGAATGCTTCGGGCCTTAGACTAAAAGGAAAATTTTATAAGAGGGCGGTGAGACCTGCAATGCTCTATGGCGTTGAATGTTGGCCTTTAAAAGAGAAGCATGATACTAAGTTAAGTGTTGCCGAGATGAGAATGATTAGGTGGATGAGTGGCTTTACATTTAGAGACAAAATGCGAAATGAATATATCCGTGATAGGGTTGGTGTAGCTCCAGTGGCGGACAAAATTAGAGAGAGCCATCTTAGATGGTTTGGTCACATTAAACGTCGACCATCTGATGATCCAATTAAGATAGTGGATATTTTAGATTCTACTTATGTTAAGAAAGGTAGAGGTAGACCTAGGAAGACTTGGGCTTATTGTATAAAAAATGATCTTAATTTATTCGAACTAAATGAAAATAGGACGCGGTGGAGAAAAAGGATTCATGTAGCCAACCCCACGTAGTGGGATTAAGGTTTTGGTTGTTGTTGTTGTTGTACTTATTATTATTATTATTATTGTTGTTGTTGTTGTTATTATTATTATCGGTCATTACAATTACAAAGCTATATGTTGCAGCACAAAGCATCTATTATGATTATTTCGTATGATCCTAGAGTTAAATTATTTTTCCTGTTTGATTTTAGTTTCAAATGTATTTAGTTTTATAGTTATTTTTATTTAAATTATATAATAGGATTCTTAAAACTTATTTTGATCTTTTTTTTAAATTTAAATCTGTAAACTTTATTTTTATATATAGGATTAGGATTAATATTATTTTAGCTATTAATTAACAAATTACTTCTGGGAAAAAAAGTCTTTTTTTTTACTTTTTACTTTCCGAGTTATCATCATAGACATGTATCTCTTGGCTCACTTTTTTTGTATCATATTCTCTCTATCTAATAGAAGCCAAATATTCTCCCTCCCTCCCTCCCTCCCTCCTATTCATAGAATTACAATTTCCATGATTAATCTCCAATGAAAGCTTTCTTCTTTCTTGTTGGTTTCTTCAAGAGATTAATCATCTCCATCTCTCTCTCGCTAAAAAATCTTGCTTTATATCAGATCTTTCTTTCTAATTTTTTTAATGAGACCAGTCTCTCCATCTTTCTCTCTCTAAAATATCTCTCTACAAGCGATATCTTTTCTCACCTAAGGGTGAACTTAAGGGAGCGTTTAAACAATTCAAAGAAGAGGAAGATTAAGAAAGAAATCATCAATAATGTCTCATCATCTGATCACCATTAAATTGCATCATTTCAAATTTCCTTTCTACATCTACTGCTCATGAACAAAAATGCTAAGCACTAATAGTTAACCTGACACATCAAATATTAATTAATCTTGATTTAGAGCCAAGGAGACACGTGCACTGTGTTTCTTTTCCTTTATGGTCCAAAATTAAACCTTGAAAACCTTACTAGTTCACCTGCCAGAAATGAGTACTTAATCTAATTGCGCAAGAACCTTATTATAAATGGTGTTTTTCTAGTCTGGTAAATATGATGAATTGCTGGTACTATTAGTAAGCCAAATATCAAAGAGAGGTTCTTTGCTTTGCCTTGGCTATGGTAAATATTGCCAACATTATTTTTTCTTTTTTTTTGTTTCATTTTGTAATGGATATGTCTCATCATGCTCTAATTTAAGGAGTAAATTGCCAAAATAGTTTCCTGACTATTTACATCTTGTTATTTTAGTCTTAGAATAAATAAAATTATCATATTAGTTCCCATACTCTCTTAATATGGGCTGAAATATCCCCAGAGAGGACTATTTTGGCCCCCATTAATAGAATCTGTGGATTAAATGGACATTTTTATAACTTTGGACTAAAATAGACCCTCTAGTCAATGAATCATTTTGACACTTCTAATCTCTTCTAAGCATCTTGATGAGAAAATAAAAGCATCTTGAAGAGAAAATTAATGATTTAATCTTTATTTTTTTATTTTTCTATTTTGACCTTTTTTATTAGTACTCATTCTACACTCCCCTTGACATTGGACATAATTAGCCTTAAATTTTATGCTGAAAATGCTAATGATCATATTCTCCTCACAGGTTGGATACAACTATTTCAGGTGCTTCTAAACAAGATGGAAACGAGGGAAGCCGCCTTTTTAGGATTTCTGCCAAATCGTTCTCAAAAAGATGGCAAAATGGAGAAATCAGCAATTTCCAATACCTCATGCATCTTAACACACTCGCCGGCCGCGGATATAGCGATCTCACGCAGTACCCTGTATTTCCATGGGTGCTTGCAGATTACGAAAGCGAAATTCTCGATTTATTCAATCCAAAAACTTTCCGAAAGCTCGATAAACCGATGGGTTGCCAAACTCCCGAAGGAGAGGAAGAGTTCAAGAAGAGGTTGGTTCCATTTTAATCTTTGAAGATTTACTTACAAACATACCACTCAATTTCATACCACTCAATTTTTATGTATTTACACATCCAACACCTAAACTTCAATTTTTACATACATGCCACCTTTTCAATGCATGAAATGGTGTGATTCACTTCTTAAAGTTAAAATGTTGGTATTTTATATGTGATATGAAAAATTTGGGTGTTATAAATGTTAAAATTAATGTTTTAGGTGTTGGATATGTAAATACATAGGAATTGGATGGTATTTATGTAAATGCCTCGCTATCCTTTTATGGCTTCTGGAACTATGGTTCCGGTTCTCCTTACTGTGAAGTGTTGCTAAATTGAATTATATATATATATATTTTTATTATTTGCAGATATGAGAGTTGGGATGACCCTGATGTGCCAAAATTTCATTATGGATCTCATTACTCCAGTGCTGGAATTGTTCTATTTTATCTTTTGAGGCTGCCACCGTTCAGTTCTGAAAACCAGACTCTGCAAGGCGGCCAGTTTGACCATGCAGACCGGTTGTTCAACAGTGTGAGGGATACTTGGTTGAGTGCTGCGGGTAGGGGTAATACCTCAGATGTTAAGGAGCTTATTCCTGAATTCTTTTATCTGCCGGAGTTTCTAGAAAACCGATTTAATCTTGACTTTGGAGAAAAGCAGTCGGGTGAGAAGGTGAGGCGTGGTCATCATCCTTTTCTTTTCTTTTCTCTCTTAATGTTTTATATTTGAAAGATTTACATACCTACCGCCAAATTCGTACGTATTCACATATCAACGGCCCATGCTTCAATTTTTATCTACAAAACATCGAACCTATACTAAAAACATAGGAATCTGGTGGTCTGTACATAAAGATTGAAGTTTGGGTGATTGATATTTTAATACAGTGCACAATTCTTTTGTATTTACATATCTCACATGAACTTTTATATTTACTTACATAGCATTTTGGCGCTTTAAACTTATGCATGAATATGTGTATTTTACTTTTTAAAAATGGTAATAGTGTATTTGTTGATGTGATATTAAAGATTTGAGTGTTAGGTGCGTGAATATGGAAGTTTAGATGTGAGATATCTTAATATATAATAATTGTGTGCTATGTATGTAAATGCCCCTTTTCTTTTTCCCATCCAATCATTTGTGCATAAACTAATGCGTTCAGTTTGATGAACATTCTAAAAATGTGTCACTTTAACTTATGTTTGTGGTGCAATATTTCCCTTTTTGTTTTAGGTTGGTGATGTTATTTTGCCTCCTTGGGCCAAAGGCAGCCCAAGGGAATTCATTAGAAAACATAGGGAAGCGCTGGAATCAGATTATGTTTCCGAGAATCTGCATAACTGGATTGATCTAATTTTCGGCTACAAGCAAAGAGGAAAGGTTAGTGATAACCTTAGAAACTCTTTTTTTTCTACAGTGTAAATTGTTGAAATAGTTTCGTTGACTATTTACATAGAGTCATTATAATCCCAGGGTTTATAAAAATGTCATATTAGTCCCTGGACTCTTTTGATATATGTTGGCATAGACCTCATGGAAGACTATTTTTTCTCCATATTAAGTGTATGGGGACTAAATTTACACTTTTATAGACTCGGGGCTAGAAAATGCTACAAACAGGCAGGATACTATTTTTAACACCCTTGCTCGTTATCTTCCATTTCTGATTGTCATAAATCTTGATCCATTCAATGTTTTGTAGGCAGCTGAGGATGCCATTAATGTCTTCTATCACTACACCTATGAAGGAAATGTTGACATAGACGCTGTAACCGATCCTGCAATGAAAGCTTCCATTCTTGCTCAGATCAATCATTTTGGCCAAACTCCCAAGCAATTATTTCTAAAACCCCATGTGAGACGCCACACCGATAGGAAAATTCCTCTTCACCCCCTCCGCTACAGCGCCCACCTTCTTCCCCACGAGATCCGCAAATCCCCATCTTCTATCTCTCAAATAATCACCTTCCATGATAAGGTCATCACTGCCGCCGCAAACAATCGGCTGAAACCCATAACATACAGTAAGTACATCGCATGGGGATTCCCTGATCGAAGCGTGAGGATCATAAACTATGATCAGGACAGACTCCTCTCCACTCATGAGAACCTTCATGGTGGGAACCAAATCCTATGTACCGGAGTCAGCCACGATGGTCAGATCCTCGTTACCGGCGGTGACGATGGCGTAGTCGCAGTGTGGAGATTCTCTAAAGATAACATTCGAGCTCAACGAAGCCTTCACCTTGCCAGAGCCCTCTGTGCCCACACAACCAAGGTCACCTGCCTTTACGTCAGCCAACCTTACAGCCTAATCGCTTCCGGCTCCGAAGACTGCACGGTCATCTTATGGGATCTTTCGAGCTTGTCCTTTGTCAAACAACTCCCGAAATTCCCGGCGCCAGTATCCGCCATACATGTCAACGACCTCACTGGAGAAATCCTAACAGCCGCCGGAGTTCTTCTTGGAGTATGGAGCATCAATGGAGACTGTCTTGCCGTCGTCAATACTTCGCAGCTCCCATCCGATCTAATCTTATCTGTGACATGCCCGGCATTTTCCGATTGGCAGGACACGAACTGGTACGTAACGGGGCACCAGAGTGGGGCTGTGAAAATCTGGAACATGGTGCATTGCAGGGATATGGATGAGTCCGGCGTGAAGAACAAGTCGCTGGAGAATGTCTCGGGAGGGCTAATTCTCGCTGGCAAAGCGCCGGAATACATACTACTGCTTCATAAGGTGCTGAAATCACATAAACATCCAGTTACAGCACTGCACATCACAAACGATCTCAAGCAGCTACTAACTGGAGACTCAGGAGGGCATTTGCTGTCCTGGAGTCTCGCCGAAGATATCTTAAGATCGAATTTCGGGCAAGGGTGATCTCGGAGGGACGAATACTGAGTCGAGAATTGAAACTAACCTGAATCCCTCAGTTTGGACTTCAGGCAGCAGATGCAGATGGAACATCTGCTTAACCCAGAGGGGTTGGCCTGAAATTTACGGCGATACATACGCTGGGGTTTTGGTCACAGGTAACAAAGAAGCTCCTACAGATAATTTAGATTGAAGAGAGATTACAGAATATGATATACACTAAAGTGCTAACAGTTCTCAAAGATAGTAATTTTCAGAAAGATGGGTGGATTTCTGATAATTGTTGTTATGTGCAATACATGTTTGGCTGGTTTATAAGTTTTGGTATAAACCAGCAAACTTTTTCATGTATTATGTAAGGGAGGATTTCATTTTTTTAATAAAGAAATTGAAGCATGAAATTAAAGAGGGACAATTTGGGTAGGAATATGGTATTATTTCAGCTTCTGAAAGACATTATCACAGTGCTGTTAGGTGAATCTCTTCATGGTAATTGCCATAGGGGTCCTTTGGTTTGTGGGAAAATGTTGTAAATTAAAGAGAATGTAGAGAAACTTTTATTGTTTTGTTTTGATTTATTGCAAGTGTTGCATTTATTCTGTGTCAGTCTTTGCTTTTATATATATATATATATATATATATATATATATATACTAATTTATTTAAGAGAACCAAATTAAAGTATATGGGGTTATAAAAAAACCAAGGCTGCCCACCACCCTTAAGGGCTCTTTTGGGAGGTGACATTGAGCTCAATTATTAAAGCATGTTTAAGCTTGCCTAAAGTGAGAAAATGTTACATTAGTACACAGCATGCAGAACTGATGAAATCACGCCACGTGGCGGTGACAGAAAAAAAAAAGTCACGATAACACAGAGAATATTTCTTCATGTTATTCCGTATTATTCAGGTGTTATTATATGTTATATAGGTGTTATTGTATTCTGAGAATATTTTCGATGTTATAATAACACAATAACACATTAATAATACTTGAATAACACAATAATACTTGAATAACACACAATAATACTTGAATAACACGGGAAGAATATTTTCTTATATTACCGGACATATTTTATTTTTTTTTTACCGCCACGTGGCGTGATTTCATTGGACTCTGCATGCAGCTCTGCATGTGGTGTCCTGATGTAATATTTTCTCGCCTAAGTTTGAATTGAGCTTTTACAATAGTGTTCAAAATCTATTCGTTTCAATTCATATTTGTTTGAGGTTAAGTTGATTTTGATTTATTTTTTGATTAGAGAATTTTAAATGTTGAGGTTAAGTTGATTTTGATTTATTTTTTGATTAAAGAATTTTAAATGACTTAGACTTACTTGAACCCATATTTTTCAGTGAGTTTAAAAAATATAAAGGGGCCTCATCAAGACATGACTATTGAGCCTTTACGAGCTAATTGTATTCACCATAAGAAAATAAAATAAAATTCTAATTGAAGGAGTCTTAATTAAATGCATGTAATTATCAAACTAAGCTTACCGAGCCCTTACGAGCTAATCGTGTTAAAAAATGGGTTCCATGCTAAATAATTTAACTTAGTTTCTTATAATTTATAAACAATATTACTTTAAAACTATTCAAATAATGTATAACTAAATGTCTAGATAAATGTAGAATTGATGCATCATCAATCAGTTTTATCATTTGACATATTTTTAGCAAGAAACGTTCCATATTCAAATTAAAGATTATTCAAGTCTTCAATTTCAATAAATTTATAGTCAAACTGACTATTTCAACAAGATGAACCTGATATACAAAAATTTATTCGATATGAAACTAATCAAGCCTAGATCAAGCTATTAAAACACTTTTGGAGGTTTTGGATTGTCAATTGAATGGTCAAATGAACTCCAAATTTTTCATATTTATATTCAAATATAGTGTCACAATGGAATTCAATAAGCTTACAATTGCTTATTTTTGAGGTCATTAAGACTCTCAAATCATTAAAAACCCCTATGATCAAGGGGTCTTTGTAGGACGCCCAATCAGTTTTTTGAGGAAGTTATTTGCTAAAAATACCAAAATGCCTCTACCCTTATGCTATAACTAGATCCCCTTTTTTCACTTTGAGGGTGGAAGAGAAGAGGAGAACTTTTAGTAATGTTATGGACTATAGACCCAACAATAACTTCAAACATCCATTGTTGAAGAGCACCGTCAACCACTGGTCATTGGTCACTGTTGTCACTGTCGACCTCCCCTACTCACCATCTTTAATGACCCATACTTGTTATTAATGTATCCTAAATACATCCATAGAATATAACATCATATTGAAGACCTAACAATAACTTTTGAACTTTATAGTTGCCAACCACTGTCAAGCACTATCTGTTGGCTGATGTGGGCCACTGCTTGTTGGTCGTCATCACCTCTACTCACTATCATTAGTGAATTAGATTGCTAACGACAATATGGTTGCAACTTATGTGGCCAACTGAAGCTATAACAAGTTTCAGCTATAACAAGTTTCAACTATAACTGCTATAGTCAAATGATGCTATTATAATAATCAATTATGGCCTCTATGACTAATTGATGCTATTACATCTTACAATTATGAACTTTGTGACAAAATGACATTATTACAGTCACCAATTATAACTAATGTGACTAATTGATATTATTACAACTTCCAAATATGACATTTGTAACCAACTGAAACTATTATAGTCACCAACTATGACCTTTGTGGCCAACTAATGCTATTATGATTATTACTAAAATTTATGTTTATTGTAACCCAATTACGATTATTATGGATGAACTAATGTTATATATATGTGATTATCAACTTTATAATTTCATCTTCTTTAATTCAATAGGAGAGTGAACTTATATATTTACAGTCACATAGTGGATTACTTTTACAAGGGTAAGACCCATGATTTTTTCCTTTCGAGTGTTTTTCCACTTAAAAAATATTGGTGTCTTATCTTGCTATTTTTTATTATCTATGTGTGTATTGGATCTTTGTGCAATACTAATACATTATAATTATCATTCTACCGCTACAAATTTTCCGGCACATGATAGTTTGGAGTCTTATGTAGATAACGAATTCCTTTCGATAGAAGTCTACACTTATTGATGGCTAAAAAGTGCAATACACGAGCTTCTTGGTCTAATACTCATTATTCCAGGGTGCAGTCTCTAAAGTCCAACAAGCCAAGCCTCTACTCCATTTCCCGACAACACATCATCCTGTGGTGAATGAACCTCCTTAGCATGAATATTGTCAATGAAGAATGAAGGAATCTAAAAAAAGATCCTTTGACTTTTGCACGTGGCTTAACAACTGATGATTGTGCATGCTAGAGGGTGTAGCTACCTCAAAATCCATCAATTAGAAAAGTACTGTTAACACCCCTCCACTTAAAGTTCCTCCCAATGAAGTACTGACATCATTTTTGGATGAGCTCTATCTATCTTCATCTCTCTTCTTAAAACCTTGAATCTAGCTTTAAGTTTTTCTTATAGGTTTCCATAAAGAATTAGTGAGTGGTTTAAATCCTAAAATAGAATTTCAAACCAGATCTCCATTCAATTAATTTCATACACTTAATTTTGATTCCTAGCAAGTTTCTCTTAAGTTCATTGAAATTGAAGTTGAGTCCACATAAGATTGGATATGCCTTTAAGCAATCATTTGATCTCAGAGGCTTAAGTCTTCGACCCTTCGTGTGTGTGTGTGTGTGTGTCTATTTTGCTCGGACCAAATTTTGTCATCTTTCAAATTAAAAGAGTTATTGGTGTATCAAATATCATATTAATCGTTAATTAAATAATCAAAATAAAATATATCTGATAAGCAATATAAAGTTATTATTTAGTAATGAAAAGATAATTAATTTGTCTACAAAATAGCTCTTAGATTTATCCTTGAGAAAAAAAAAATGTATTATATAATATTCTTAATTATGTTTAATATTTTTTTATGTAAACATTTTATCTAAGGAAATCAAGACAATTTTTTTTCTATAATATTATGTAATAAATGATCTTCCATAAACTATTGAAATAAATTTGCATCAATAACAAAAAAGAAAATAAATAATTAAATGTGATGGACATTTCCATAATAATGACAAAATTATACGCACATTTAGTGTTACAAAAGGAATTAGCAAAGTTTTGAAAATCGGATACGACATTGAACCAGTAAAAGAAGAGATTCAAGGTTCAAAGGTTGAACCCATGATTCAGCTGAATGACATAATAAATCATAAATTTATTTAAAAATAACACAAATTATGTAGTAACACGTCATAAAAATTTTGTTGCTGAGAATAATATAATATAGTTAAATTATCTGTCCAATCAATTTTGCCAATTTCATTTAAACCTTTTTTAAAAGTGGTATTTTTTTGGAGGTAATATTAAAGATTTGAGTGTTTTGTTTAGAAAAGTGAAAGTTTAGACGCCAGACGTTAAAAATAATTTCTCTTGGAGTGATTTTGAGCGAATTATTTTTATAAAAATAAAAATAATTGTTTTTAAAAAATAAATTCACAAATTATTTTGATAAGGGTAAGATTTTCTTATATTTTAATATTTTATTACTATTTCACTTGTTTGGAATAATTTATATGTTATATAAATTATTATTATTATTATCATTATTATTATTATTATATGTAGCAAAATTTAATATGGAATAAATTATTATTCTTATTAAAATGGAATAATTTAATATGTTAATTTACATTGCAATGTTCTAACTTTTTTTTTTTTTTTTTTAGTTTTTAGTCCTTGCTTCTTGCAGTCATATTATATAAATACTTGAATAATTCAATATGTTATAGTTTTATAGGATTCACCAAAACTGCAGGCTACAACAACTTTAAGCAACAAGCAAAATATTAAGAGGAGCACCAACAAAATTCAAAATTAGAGAAAAGGCAGACCCTTGCAGCAGAAAAATGGACAGGTGAGTGATGCCGGTTCTTCGGTTCGGTGGTTGAACTGACGGTTTGGTTGTTTTTTGAACGGTTGGATGCTGGATACGAGCTTTAGCCAAATCGGAGGAGGCCCTGGACCCGATTTCACGATTGAACCGATTAAACCGGTTTGTTCGATTCGGCCTTTAAAACATTGAGAATTAGTGTATCTTGGGCTGTAAATGAGCCGAGTATGAGCGAGCTCAACCTGGGCTCGTGTTCGACTCTTGTTTGAAACCGGCTCGTGAACAGTGTGTTCGTGTTCGGCTCGAAATTGACACGTTAAAATTAAACTGAAAAAATAGATGTAGAGCTTTGGATTTGAACCTGGACCAAATATATGTAAAAAAAATTGCATTACCACATTATAATAGAAGTAATTATGATTTAAACTTAGATATAAATATACATATATATATATATATATATATATATATTTCGAGCTAAAACGAGCCGGACACGAGCAAATAAAGAACTGTTCGTATTCGGCTCGTTTATAATTCGAGCTTTAAAAACTTGTTCATGTTTGACTCGTTTACTTAACGAACGAACCGAACACGAGCTGTTCAAGAACAACGAGTTTTTTTGATAGCTCTAAGTTCATGGATATAACATTTAAGCTTAAATTTTATTTACTTGCCCTGACATTTAATAAATTTTCAATTGAGTTTTGGAGACAGAGTGAAGAGAAGAGACAAGAATTTAAATAATATGAAAGAGAAAAAGAGAAAAAGAAGAGAGAGAGGTGTGCTTTTGAATGAGAAAAATTATTACGTATATTTTACAAGAAGTCTAGATACATTCTAATTCAATGAATTTGTGCATATCAATATTTTGGTTGGTATGTATGTAATTCACTAGATTATTATTCTATAAATTTGTAAATAATTATATCCTTGATGGTCTGCATGTAATCCACTTGATTATTGTCTTGATTGCGGGAAAATTTGCGTACGTAAGTACGCAGCGCTGCGTACATAATAGAAGTTATATTCACGTTATATCCGTATTATATCCGCGTTATATCAATTATAACATCGATGTAATCTCCATATAACCTATCTATAACTGACCTGAACTTACAAATAAATTTCACGCTTATATTTTCACATAACTATAGATTACATAGAAATTCGCTTAATATTCAATATAACACGAATATAATAAGCAAATTTTCTCCCCTGCTTGCATGATGTATTCGTGCTTTTAGAGCCAACTTGGACGACCAGATGTTCCCTTCCGAACGGCGCGCTCCACCGAAGTTTTGATGTCATCACCCGATGTTTCTGATCATTTGTCACCATTAGCCACCCCGTCAAATTAACTGTCCCAACTCATCTCCATAGCTCACGGGCGGCTATTTAGATTTTAGGGTTTCTTCTTTTCTCTACCATTTCAAAACCTCTGCTCCTAAACCCTAGTATATTTCCTGAAGTCCATTCCCTCCCTGCTGCTAACTGTTATCGAGAGGTATGGCTCTTTGCCCCTTTTTAGCTCGTGAACCTCCTATTCATCAAGAAAAAGGTTTTTTCTGACTGCAGTTGATCAAGTTTTTCCGCGGGGCGTACATTATTCGTTTGATTTTATCCAATTTTCGGATCCTTTTTTGGTAGTTTTCCGCGTTTTTGAATCATTGCAATGATGCTCATGCCGAAGCAATAGACGGCGGAAAGGATTAGGGTGTTAATAAGATGGAAGCTGTACAGGCTGCCTTTTAATTTGATTATTAGTACTTAAGGGATTATCTGGTGTTACATGCAGTGGATTTAGATTTTACGTGGAAGCCTTTTTTTTTTTTGTTGGGTTCATTGTTGTTAATTGTCAATTAATTTATTTTATAATTGAATATTAGGGTCCGTTTGGGGGCGTCGGTGCGGTGACAATGTTGCACCACACCACAGTTTTGTCTTATGGGTAAACTGAGTTTTGATGATTTTTTTAAAAAAATTGCCACTGAATTCTGCATTTTTCTTTCTGCCCTGGCTAGGTGCAGTGACAACTTTCTAGCTGTGGTAATACTTTTTCAAAATATAAAAAAATTTGTATTAGCCATTGCAGTATTTTGAACGTCAGATTATTTTTCAGCAGTTTCACAGCTGTTTCTTAATATACTGCAGCTGCCCCAAATAGACCCATTAGTGGTTGTTTTTCTTATAATTCATCTTTGTTTACAACAACAACAACAACAAAGCCTTAACCCCACTACGCGGGGTCGGCTACATGAATTCTTTTTCTCCATTGCGTCCTATTTAGTGTCATATTTTCATTTAGTTCTAATAAAGTAAGATCATTTTTTATACAATAAACCCAAGTCTTCCGAGGTCTACCTCTGCCTTTCTTAACATAAGCCGAATCTAAAACTTCCACTCTCCTAATCGGATCATCAGATGGTCAACGATTAATGTGACCAAACCATCTAAGATGACTCTTTCTAATTTTGTCCGTCACTGGAGCTACACCAACCCTTTCACGGATATATTCATTTCTCATTTTGTTTCTAATTGTAAAGCCACTCATCCACCTACTCATTCTCATTTCGGCATCACTTAACTTAGTATTGAGAATTCACATAGATTGGGTATAATTTGCAATTCTAAAGCTTTCATTTTTATTCTTAAGAATGAATGTGCGTGCAACTCCTAACTTGTTACATTATCATCTTTGTTTTAAAAAAAATATTTATCTTGTTACTTCAAGCCTTTTTTTTTCGTATTTCCACCAATTAATCTCATGACATTGATTTCGTAACTGCAAAATTGAGTTGTTTTTGTGGCTGTTTTTTTGCTATTAGCCATCTTGAGAGCCTTTGATCTCGTAATAACAACACTTCATTTGATTCTAATGTGCTTAAATTTATGTAATATGTTCTATTTGATAGTAAATTGAGAATTCATATAGATTGGGTATAATGTGCAATTGCAAAGCTTTCATTTTTATTCTTAAGAATGAATGTGCGTGCAACTCCCAACTTGTTACATTATCACTTGTGCCAACTGGGTATACTTTGCTAATTCTTAAGCATTCATTTTTTGTAGCACTTGATATCATATCTGTTAAATATGCTACTTGAGGCTGGCTTTATAATGTCATTCTCCGCTCATTTTTGTTGTTTGGTGAATGGGGTCTTAAATCTATTTTGAATAAGTTGTTTTGCACAACTTCAAAAGATATGATCTTTGGTCTATCTGTTTTCCTTACTAATCCATTGGCATTTATGTTATCCAACACTCTTATTTATGCATCCTTTATCCTTCTTTATGCATGTTCTTTTTCCACCTGTACTCATTTTTTCTAAATTCAATGACATTTTTCATTTTTTTTCATTAGCATCTGGATATTCTATATAGAGTTTAGTGTTTGTTCTATTATTTTTCAGATTAAAGCTTGAAATTGGTACTTCTTACATAGTGATATTGAGTCATTGCAAGAAACTACAATTCTAATGGCGGGTATAGATGGTGCTTCAAATGCGAATGCTGAACAGGCAGAAGAAATTAAAAACTTAGCCAATGAAGCATTTAAGGGTAACACATTTATCTTTTACATTTGCGCATGGGGAGTCTTTGCTTTTCTTTTGGAGCCTCCTTTTCTAAAACATTGGTCTTGATTGAATCATTTAAATGGTTTTTGGAAGAGGGTAATGTTTATTTGCGTGCAGCCAATATGTTTTTCTTGTTTCTGTTTGAGATGTTATGTCCAACCTTTTTTTCATTGATAAGCAGAAGGAAAAACAAGGTGGTGGCGATTAGTTTGTATATGGTGATAAGTTTGTATATGGAAGGTGTACTTGCATATGAGATTTTTATTATTTTTTTTGAACTGTTTCCCTGTGGTTCCTTGCAGCGAATAAATTTTCTCAAGCTGTCGATCTATACAGCCAGGCTATTAATCTAAATGGGCATAAAGCTGTGTATTGGGCAAATCGTGCATTTGCACACATCAAACTTGAGGAGTATGGCAGCGCGGTGCAAGATGCAACAAGAGCTATTGAATTAGACCCTAAATATTCAAAGGTAAATGCCTAATTTTTTCTGCAGAATACTATTGCTCAGAAAATAATTCTTTGGGCCTTGATCTAAATGTTCTCTTTTTGTTTTTTCTAGGGCTATTATAGACGAGGGGCAGCATATCTAGCTATGGGGAAGTTTAAGGAGGCATTGAAAGATTTTCAGCAGGTATATTCAAATCTCTTGAACATATATACATGATATACAATTGACAGATGGAAGTGCCAATATTAAGGGTCATTTTGGATCATGCGTATGTCAACACCCAAGTAAACTTTAAGGTGTGATTGGGTGATTGTGGGCATGTAGGGCACATGCTTGAGACTTGTTTCCATGTTATGCATGACATGTGTGTATTTGTTTGTCTCCGTGTCCATGCATCTGCATGTCTAATGGAGTCTTACCGGATTAAGCAAGCTTCACACATTTGTATATAAGGCTTATGGAATTTCAAGTGTGTGATGTAGTCTTAACAAACTAAGCAATTTGTCATGCATTTGTGAATGCATAATGTAAGGTGACGAGCAAGCTTGCATGGGCTTACTGAATTTAGGTGTTCCCATGCATGTATACGAAATGAGGGAATAGAGTGGGAAGGGATGGGGGCAAAGTTGAGATTCACTTTTCTTATAAAAGGTTTAAAACTGAGTAATTATGTTGATTTCATACTTTCTAACCATTTTTTAGCTGCAATAAATGAACCCAAGCTCCGGTGATATTTCATTTAGTTTTGCAACATATAGAGTCAATTTTATTTAAACCTCCAATCTGCATGATTGTAGTTTCTACTTTGGCAGTCTTGGCAATATTTATGATTTTTTTTATTTTTTATACTTATTTTTAAAAAATTGAAGTGTATCATTGAAATTCTTAGCATTTTTTTTATGACTAATAGGTGAAAAGAATTTGCCCGAATGATCTAGATGCCACTAGAAAGCTGAAAGAGTGTGAAAAAGCTTATCAAAAGATACGTTTTGAAGAGGCAATTGCCGTCAAAGATTCTCAAAGACACTCAGTTGTAGATTCAATAGATTACCATAGTATAGGTATTCGTGCTTGCTCCATGTTCTCTTTTTATGCTCTTTATTTCATCATGCTTTGTTATATTTGATTGATTTCAAATGCTTTTGACATTCATTGTTGAGCTGTAATTGTTCTTTTAAGAGTGATAGGAGAGGTGAACATTAAGAGTATTTTGGAATTCATTGTTGATGGGATATCTCATGATTTTTAACAAAAGTAGAATATTGGATCAAAAATTGTTAGTGGGTTATACTATAATCTCAGTAGTACTCAGTGAAAAGAGTAGGAAAAAAAAAGGATGTTTAGTAAGAACCTTTGGGGTTTTGCTATCATGGGTTTGAACATAGAAAAGTGAATCCAATTATATAAATTTGAGTCAAATTACTTAACCACGAGCTTTTCCTGTAACCCACTTTTTTTGGTTAGTTTCCGAGAATTATAGAAAAGCTACATATTTAGTTACATGAATGAGACTTACTATTACTCATTATAAAATTTGTGTGGCATGTTGTCGGATTGAGTAATTGGATTTGTAATCAACTTGTTGACAAGTTGCTAACATTCATTGTGGAAGTGGCCAAATAATTCATGAGCATAGGTGACTATGTTTGAGCTTTGTTTGTTTCGCGAGTTTAGCTATGTTTGAGCTTTGTTTGTTTCGCGACTTTAGCATAAGCTTAATGAGGTAATAAGGAATTTGGCGAGTTCAACATAGGTTTGGTGAGGTTCTATGAGTTTGATTGGCTAGGTTGAGTTCATAGCAGCCTAGGCTAACTTTGTTAAACGCATGTCGACTTGAATAAGTTCATTTATTTGAACCTTATGGATATTTTAGATTTGCATTTATTTTTCTGAGTTTTTTATACTTTTAGAAGGGATGAGTGACAAGGACAAGAAAATAAAGGAGTTATTTCCTATTAGGTAGCAATATCATTATTTTTAGCACTTCCCTCAACAAGAGCTATGTTTTATCTTACTGAGTTTGCTGCTTACTTTTATCTATTAAAATTAGTTAGCATAATATTTAATATTTACAAATTAATTTGCGAGGAGTATTGATAACATGTTTTTAGGATTTTGTTAGTATTGATGTTCACCTTGATTTTGACATTAATATCATTTTGTTTATATCAGTACAGTCAATGCCTTATAAATTGGAATACCTTGCCTTAGTTACAAATTAATTTGCAAGGAGTATTGATAACATGTTTTTAGGATTATGTTAGTATTGATGTTCACCTTGATTTTGACATTAATATCATTTTGTTTATATCAGTACAGTCAATGCCTTATAAATTGGAATACCTTGCCTTAGTTTCAGGGTCGCTAGTTTTCTTATCTCCTTTTTGCTGGAGCTTTATAATTTTGCTTTCAAAATGGTCATCCCTATTGACAAGATATAATTTTGAAAGGATGTTATAGTCGTTATCTTTAGGGAGCTTACAAGGAAAAAAGGGGAAAGTTCTATAGAATGGAGGGCGAAGAAGGTAAAATTTAAGCTTGCTGAAGCAAGGGGACATTTTAAGTTGACTCGGCTCAATCGGTGACTGCTCCTTTAGAATCTGCGTGTTTTTCCTCCTCTGCTACCTAACGAGTTTCCCTAATTGTTGGATGCTGCTGAAGATCTTCTTGCTCTGGTACATATAGAGATTTACTAAATTATTTTTAAGATATATATATATATATATATATATTGAAGTTATCTCTAGTTAGTCTAATAGACCAAATTGCTCCAGCGTGTCACGGACAAAAAGTCTCACATCGGCTAGGTGTAGGGCCAAACAACAGTATTTAAGTTATGAGCTACCCACCTCTCTTGAGAGCTCTTTTCGGAGGTGACAAGTGGTATCAGAGCCTTGGTTCGAAGGAATGACAAAGAGTGTCCAAGGGCACATGATGGAGTCGGAAGCCACTAATGTGGAGTCATCTCAAAGGCGAGGTCGCCAGGAGCAAAGAAATCCCGTTGCACCCAAGCCACATGGGAGATCCAAGGTATCAAGCATTCAAGCTTTGTAATCTCTCATTTCTTAGTGAAGCATTTTCTTCTCCAATACTTCTCTCTATTCTTCTTTCGAGTATTTTGTGTTCCAGTGCTACGAAGGTTAGACTGATTTAGTGCTAAGAAAGACGCTAAAGCCGCACGAGTGACTTGAGGAAAGTTAGTCCGTGATAGTTGGTTCTACAACAGATTACTGCTTGCCAGGTGTGTGGACTCTCCGTGGTCCAGTGGGGCCCTCAGAGGAGCCGATCCGTGACGAGGGCGTCATGTGATTGGGTGGAGGAGAATGTCACGGGCAAGAAGTCTCACAGCGGCTAGGTGTAGGGCCGAAGAACAGTATTTAAGTCCTGGGCTGCCCACCTCTCTTAAGAGCTCTTTTGGGAGGTGACAAATGGCTCTGGAGCTCGTTGATGAGAAGATAGTGGTTGAAGGTAATGTTGGTCTATCGTCTGTTGAAGTTGTCGAGTTGGAGGGCTTTTCTTGAATTTTATGCGCGATATTATAGTGTATTATACAATCAAGGAGCGTTTGGGCGAAGATCAGGGAAGTTTTGGTGCGGAGTTGGTCAAACAATGACATCAACAAGTACACCTAAGAAAGCTGTTTGGAATTGCTTCGTTATTACAAAACTTCGAGCAAACTATGTCTAGCTTTGCTAAGAAAGATTTTCTCTTTCAAAGTTATTTGTTGGAGAGCCAAGATCAAAGCACACTGAAGTTGTTTCTTCGCCAAACCTTTAGAAAAAGATGCTGAAGTTATTGCATGGACACCTCTTAACACTGCCAATTGTTAACGATCCCAAGATGGCGAGGAAAGCTATTGAATCCGCAACTTGTAAGGGGAAAACTTTAATGTCAATCCCACGAGAACTCTTCGTGATGTTAAAAATTCTATGTTGAATTTGTCAAGAGAATTAATTGAAGTTATGATCTTATCAAAGTAAATTGAGATGATGTTGATGAAGTAATTTTTTTCTTAATTGGTAAGTGGTGCTGAGTTGGATATGGCTGAGTTCAAATATCAACTTGCTCTTTTGAAGGTGGCAGTTTAGGAACAAAACAATAATGCTCGGGAGGATAATTTCTTGAAAAGTTGACCAACTGTTGCCTTTAAAATTTTTTTGTATTCTTCGTTGAGATTCTCAATATTTGAAGATTCAAGTTGTTTTAAATTGAAACTTTTTGGAGCATTCAAATTTTAGTCAATTCTTAGATGGCAGTGAGTTTGCGATTCAACAAACTACTAGAAGTGGGCGAGCTTTTAAGGATATAATTTTTTGATCAATTGTATAAGTTATTTTTTTTTTAAAATCCTGTACAGGAGAAATCTCACAAGAAGTATTGGCTTCAAGTCATCATTGATCTCGGTAATAATGATGACTCGTCAAAAAATGGCAAGGCTAAATTCAAAATAAATTGAATATTAAGTTTGACATTTTAATTTAAAACTATTTAAATGTTTCCAAGAACTGTTCCTTTCGGTATAAATAATTCTTGACTTCACTTGAGAACTTTTACGCTTTATGTTTTCTATCTTTATTTGAGACTCTTTTTTGTTTTGGCTTGATTCCTTCCTTCTAAATTGTGCGAGTGTTAAAGAAAAGCTACCAAGGGTGTGAACAGATTCACTTGGGCGAAATCCTATAAATGCTTTATATCTTCGACAATTCTTTTATAATCCGGCTTTGAATGCTGATGAGTTCTCAAGCACTATTATTGATGCTAAACTTTGTTTAACGATCATTTCAAACTTAGTTTGCAAATCTCATTATGACGGGAACTATTAGACATAATGAATTTCTATGCAGTGATTTGAATTCATGTGCTAGCACAATCTATTATATCATCTACCTGAAAGAGAAAGGACTCCTTAGCATATAATGTTTCTCGACATCAATTTACCATTAAGGTGTTTAAAGGTATGCATTTTGTTCTCGTCTAACCATATAATGATATTTAGATTAGTGAATAAGTTAAAAGCTAAAAAGAGATTTTATTTTCTCAATTGCTTAAAATCAGTTGGCAAAGACAAAGCAGATCCATTCTCAGAGGATAATTTTCATTTGCCTGATTTGGAAAAATTGAATATTCTTTTTTTAGTTGAAGAAAATAGGCTTGAATTTTCATTCTTATATTAATGCACAAGTCATCTTGCTGCATTTCTCCTGTAAGATTCATTTTAGTTTTTAGCTTAATTTGTTTATTTGGTGACTTGCATTCATATATATTTTTTAATTTGTGTTGTTTCTAAAATAATAAAGAAGGTTCTCGTTTGTAAAGAGAAATTCAACGAAGTTGCTAATTTTTTTAAGGAGTTTTCAAATTAATTCTTGGGGATGAAGTTGCTATTAAGGCGACTGTTGCTAGTCCATTTTTTGGGTGAATTCACCTCCTTATTCTATTGTCCAAGCAGAGTCTCCGATCCTCCAACTACCTCAGCTCTTGCAACAGAGCTTGCTTTTGCTGTACCTTCTTCAACGATTGTTTTTCTTAGTATTGCTTCAACTGCTGCTACTTAGATAGTTGAATTCTAACTTTTTTTTTTTGGTAGAATCTAAATTAATGAGTTTGCAGAAGCTGAGTAGAGAAAAAGAGAAAAAAATTTGAGTGTTGTTAAAGGGAAAGGTCAAAAAAATGTTGCAACCCCCCCTCCCTGAAGGAAGAAACCTTGAGTATCACTCACAAGCTTTAAAAATAAAGCTTTTCAATGGGGGTGAGTATCAAACTTCTGCAATTTTTGATTAGTAATTGGTCCAAAATTGCCTGAAAACGTCATCTTTTCGACAGTGTTTTAGCTAGGTTTGAGTATCACTCACAAGCTTTAAAAAGAAAGCTTTTCAATGGGGGTGAGTGTCAAACTTCTCCAATTTTTGATTGGTAATTGATCCGGAATTGCCTAAAAACATCTTTTCGATTGTGTTCCAGTGATGGACCGAGCTTTTTTAGAGGTTGCATTATAATGCTCTCAGCAAAAAATAAATTTGACTGTTGAGGTCGGCACTACTCCGCTTATTGTGGTTCATGAGTCTTAGTAGTGCTCTCAGAAAATTTAACCTCATCAACTTTTAGAGTTGAAGTTTATGCTAAGACTCAATGACTATCTAGGAATAATAGAGTGAAAAGATCCTTCTTTAAGAAATTTTAACACATGGAGTGGTCCTTAGCATTCTCTCCATAGTTTTCTACGAATAATAGAGTGAAAAGATCTTTCTTCAAGAAATTTTAACGCGTGGAGTGGCACTTAGCACTCTCTATAATCCTTTGATTCATCATTTTCAGTAATTCTTTCATCTGTTTTCTTTGCCTGGTGGGGATAAAATGTTGATTCTTTGTTAGGATTGATCTCTTCATTTCATCCTGATGCTCCTTGCTTGAGTTCTGGTCCGAAGCATCAAATTACATCAGCACAGCTTTGAAAAGATGTGAATTCTAAAGTGTGTTTGTGACACCAGAACCTTAGTAATAAGAATGTAGATAAAACGGGAGAGAAAAGGGGAGAGAGATATGCAGATTTTATCCTTTGACCTCCTATTTATAAGCATGGCTATATTTGAATAATCCATGTAAAATTACATGTTTTTTTTATAATAAAATGAATGAATCTAGCTAATTTGTAGCTATCTAAATTTATGAATATCTCTTTGGAGATTTAGGTAAAGAATGAGATTTGTTGAGAACCCTGCTTTTTTGATGAAGTCTGGCAACTATACTTTGAATTTGTGAATAGCTTTGGATGCATGGGCGACTTTGATTGCTGAATTTTTTAGGCATATTTAAATAATCTCAAGGCCAAATATATGTTTAGCCGAGTTAAATGATGAATATGATGTCTGGGTATCAAATATATGTGACATTTAACTTTGAGTTACACGTTAGCCATTGAGATCATCTCATGTCTCAGCAACTTTAACATTGTGGCTGGTTGATTTAATTACATGTTGATTTACTTAAGTTAGTTCAAAGTAACAACGAGACTCAATTATCTTAGCTCAAATGTCATTGGGTTTACAATCTTGATTGTGTTGTAGCATAAATTTTACTGCTTTACCCCACAATTTTTTTTTGGGGTTAAATTCTGGAAAATACGACAATTGCTAAATCTTATCCTATCTTCTCTTTGTGGAGGTTTGGTTTATTAACTATGTTGGATTCTTATTGTTTTGGGCGGGGTTAGTGTTGTGGGTATGTAGTTCCTTCTTGGAACATTTTATTCGCATTGTTTAGATGTAAATTTCTTTGTTTCACGTAACTTTTGAGAATGACTATAAATTTATATTACATTGGTTAAATTGTTTATTGATTTTTCCAAATCTATAATTTTACATGAATTATGTTACCGTTTTGTATCTTTGTTCATTTCAATCGTACAGTTTATGGCTTCTGATTTTTATCGTATAACAGAAGTGGAACCGCAATATAATGGCGCAAGAATTGAGGGTGAAGTGGTTACTCTTGAATTTATTAAGAAAATGTTTGATGATTTTAAGAATCAGAAGTGTTTACACAGAAGGTGCTTACCAACATTTATAGAGTTGGATACTTTAATCATTTCAAGATTTTATAGAATTCTTAAATTTTATTCCAGGCATGTTATTAACTTAGATAATTTTATGCTAGGTACGCATATCAGATCATCTTACAGGCCAGAGAGTTGCTGCGGGCTATGCCTTCTCTTGTGGACATTTCCATTTCGGATGGTCATCATTTTACAGTTTGTGGCGATGTTCATGGGCAGGTTGTGTTTCAAAACATTTTAGCAAGAATCTTCAAACTCATGACTTCTTGGTTATATTCAAGTCAATCTTATTATTACTACTTGCGTACTCTTACCAACAATTTAACATACAAGAGAAGTTTAGTCACACTAACATTTGATTTTTTCTCTCTGTTTGCTACTTGCGTACTCTTCCCAACAATTTAACATACAAGAGAAGTTTAGTCACACTAAGATTTGATTTTTGCTCTCTGTTTGCTTCTGGGAGCAGTTCATTATCCTCATTGAGCTATGACTAGAGGAAATCTTTTGAATCATGAATTTCTGAGCTTGATGTAAATTGAGCATTTTCTTTTTGCATCTACGTACCCCATTGCTTTTCAAATGTTTGTTTGAACTGAATTTTCTATACTTTACAGTTCTATGATTTGTTGAATATATTTGAACTGAATGGACTACCCTCCGAAGAGAATCCTTATCTCTTTAATGGAGACTTTGTGGATCGGGGTTCTTTCTCTGTTGAAGTTATTCTGACGCTCTTTGCATTTAAGTGCATGATTCCATCAGGTATACCTTCAGTCTTGTTGTCGAATAGTTTTAGGATGTTGAAATATCCAAGGCCTTTCTTCTGAAGCTTTCTTTACAGTTTAATGGTGCTGATCCTGAATGCTTGATATGTTTTACAGTGATTTACTTTTGGGTCTTTGTTTATAAAATTTGCTTCTAAAATGAATGTTGGGGGACCGTTCTATTTTATTTTCTTGCCTGACTGATCCATGAATGAAGTGCAATTTTTAATTCATCTTCACAAGGCCTCTTCATGGTAATTCTGTCTGTGACTTTCTCCATGGGAAAACAAATGATGTTTTTATGTCCTAACAGGGTAGCTTTTGTAAGGATTAGCTTTGAGATAAGTAAAATGTGTGGGAATTTGTGCCTAATTAATCAAGATTTATGTTTCACTCAACTAAAAATTAATCTACAATTTTCAAAATTCTTCGGGATGAAAATTTTTTTTGGATATCCTGACCAAATTTTGTTTTCAAGGACATATTCTGCTTTGTCAGCCCCTTTCTCTCATTTTCTCGCTCTTTCAAGTTTAATATTACTGCTTGCTGATGCTGTAAATTGCCCCTTGCATATCTACTTTGCAAGAATCCGGCATTCCCTCTCTTTGGAAAAGTTCTTAAATTCTTCTTGCTCATCTTTTCCCACCATAATCTGATTCAACTAGAAAGATCTTAGAACGCTTTACCTGTTGGGCGTGATCCTGTCATACAGATTTATCCTTGATATAAGCTATTAAATTAAATTGGTTGTTGTCCGCACATATACATGCTTATATATAAAGTCATAACACTTGTAGCCACTAGCACTCGTACTTGCATGTGACTAAGCCTGTCGCACTTACTCTTCCACACTTGTTAGTTTTATGTTTATGTATTTTATTAAAGATGGAACATCCAAATGTTTAATAGAAAATCAAAACAAGCATCTTATTTGATGAAAAAGGTGTTTTAGTTTTTTTGAGCTTCAAGAAAACATTATAATGATTTTTCAGTTTATTAAGACTCTAAAATTAGCATCCTTATGGATGATTTAGATAATGAGATGAATGATTTAATGATGCTGATGTTTCAAATTAGTGAAACCTTATTAATTCATATTGTACAACAAGTGGACTAATTTCAATATTTGATTTAAAAAAAATGAAAACAATATTCTTTTTTTAAAAAAATTGCCCCCATTCATTTTATTATTGTGATTGACGGCTGGTTTTACCTTCATGAAAATTTATTAAATTTGATCACCTAGTTATCAGTTGCAAATTAAAATTGATGATCTTGATCTTATGCTTTAAGCTTTAATCATTAAAATTAAATCATGCGGAGAGTTTACAACATAGATGTTTCAATATTGTAAATTTGATGATATTATCATAAAAAATACTAAATGGATAAATAATTAACCTTTTCCACACGAAAAGACGGTAGAATATCCACACTTTGATATGCTTTGGTACGTCCATATATGCATATGTTGTGATAGCTCAAATACATGTTGAGACACACATGTATGTGTTTGTGCATGTGGTGTTTTGGGGGTGGGGAGTTGCAATACTAGATCTAGCTTCTTCCTGTGTTTTATTTCTATTGGGATCCCAAGTTCTTCGTTTTTGGTTGATTGATTATTATCCTTCAATCCACCTTCTGAGCTGGCTTCATTTTCATCACCAGCTGTTGCAACTATTAGTGTTTTTAGGAGCTCTAGTTCGTTCATAAATTTATGAAAATAAAGAATAAGAGAGTAATTTTTCTTAAGATTCAACAATAAATAGCATCATAAAAAATTAAGTTTGATTTTATCTCAACAAAAACAACAACAACAATAACAACAACATTACTTTTATCCGGGGTCGGCTACATGAATCTTTTTTCTCCATCGTGTTCTATTGAGTGTCATTATTTCATTTAATTCTAATAAATTAAGATCATTTTTTATACAACTTGCCCAAGTCATTTTAGGTCTACCTCTACCTTTTTTAACATAAGTCGAATCTAAAACCTCTATTCTCCGACAGAGTCATCAGATAGTTAATTTTAATGTGACCAAACCATCGAAGACAACTCTCTCTAATATTGTCTGCCACCGTAGCTACTGCAACACTTTCACCGATATATTTATTTTGACTCTAATTGTAAAACCAGTCATCCACCTGAGCATTCTCATCTCACTAACACTTAATAATTTAATTTTATGTTTCTCTTTTACCGGACAACATTTCACACTATAAAGCATTGCAAGTCTCACCATCATATTATAGAATTTTTCTTTTAAGTTTAGGCGGTACTTTTCTATCACACAATTCTCCCGATGCATTCCTCTACTTTAACTATCCAACTTCAATTTAACTAATAACATCCCCATCTATATCACCAACACTTTGAATGATAAACTTGGACTATATAAAATGTTCACTCCTTTTATTGTCTTAATCATCCATTGTTAGAACCCTGCAATAATGTGCTACTACTAAAATTACATTCCATGTTTTTAGTATTATATCCACTCAAACGAATCGTTTTAGACTGTAAATTTGGCCTCCATAATTCAAGTTTTTTTTTTATCTCTCTCTAGTCTTATCCACAAGTAGGATATAGCGAAAAACATACACCAAGGTAAATCCTTTTATAAATGTCCAGTAAGAATATCCATAACTAAAATAAAAGATATGGGTTTAAAGCTGATCCTTGTTATAATTTAACTGAATTAGGGAAATACTTGGTCAATCCTTATGTTCGAAGACAAGTAACAACTCTCTAGTATACATATATTTAATGACTTGAATATATGCAATATCAACACTTTTTTTTTTCTATAACTCTTCAAAGTACTTTTGGAACCTTATAATAAGCTTTTTCTAAATCAACAAATATCATATGCAAATCTTCCTTACGTTTTATGTACTTCTCCATTAATTCTCTCAATAAATGTATAACTTTCATAGTAGACTTGACCCACAAATCCAAAATTAATTTTGAGAAATTTTTGTATCATGTTGTAACTTTTGCTCAATTACTCTCCTATAACTTTAAGGTATGATACATTAGCTTAATTCATTTATAATTTGTACTATTGTGGGTCTCTTTTATTCTTAAAAATAGGAACCAATAGACTTTTTTCTCCGCTTATTAGACAACTTTTTAGTTTATAAAATAATATTAAAAAGTTTAATAAGCTTTAAAATACTCAAGACTCTTAAATATTTTTGCACTTTTATTTGAATGCTATCAGGTTCTATTGTTTTTTATTACTTTATTTTCTTTAAAGCCTCCTCAACTTCTATCTTGCCAATGTGATGGTGAAAAAAAAAAAAAATTGTTATTATTTACTATATTAAGATCGCTAAGGTGGATCATATTTTCACGAACTTCATTGAAAAATTTATCAAGACATCTCACCCACATATGTTGAATATCCTCTTCTTAGAAAAATATTTTTTGATTTTCATTCTTAATACACTTGAACCAAATCTTTATTTTTCTTATCTCTTTGCTTGGATAGTTTATTTATATATCTTTCACCATCTTTATAGTCTAATATATAATGAAGGTCATTAAAAACAATATTCTTCGCATCACAATATTCTCTTAGATTTCATACGTGCTACTTTATATTTTTCAATTCTCCGGTTTTACATTTAAACTAATTTTATAATAAAATTTATTATTTATTATTTTTTCTTGCATATTATTATTCCACCACCAATTATTTTTATTCATGAGTTTTTTCTTTTGATTTCTCAGACATCTCTTGCAAAATGATTTGTTATTTTACCTCACATAATATTAGCATCTTCATGAATACCCCAAAACTTAAGTTTTTGAAGGTTACTCATAAAAAAGTGTCTTCATTTAATCCTATGATAATATTCATTGTATTTTTGATCTTTTAATTCTTCATTTTAAAATTTAAAACCAATAATCAATGTTGGGTATTTAATATTTCACTTGGAATGAACTTAATTTTTATAATCTCAATGATCTATTTTCCTCATAAGAAAATAATCAAGTTATGTTTTATTTGATCCATTCTCATAAGTGATTATATACTCATATCTTTTCTTAAATTAAATATTAACAATAATAAAATCATAATCTAAAGCAAAATCTAATTGGCTTTACCTTCTTTATTATCATTTCAAAATCATAATCGTAGTGCATTTTCTAAAATATTTTATTACTCTTCCAACATGTCCGTTTAAATCTCCTCTTCTAAAAAACTTTTTCATTAATAGTTATCATTTGTATTAATTATTCTAAGTTATTTTACGATTTTTCTTTTGAACATATATCCAAACTTACTTGAGGAGCATAAGCACTTATGACATTAATAATTTTAATATCGACAATAATATTTAGAAATATTATTTTATCTTAAATTACATTAATTAAATTTTTACAATTTTAAAACCTAAACTATCAATCTTGTAGTTTTATCTTCAACACATTTAGTTTCTTGAATACATAAGATATTTATTTTCATATGAGCTATAGTCTATTTTAATTTCTTTAATTTACCTGTTGAGTTTTTATATTCTAAGTTCCTATCATAATATCAATTTCTTTGCCTGCATTCGTCTATAATGTGAGATCATTGTTTAATTAAACTATTTTCGGGTGCCAATTCAATGTCCTTTGCACATTTTTCACTGGGACTCTAACATTGACACAATGATTTAAAAGAATAATGTCATAACATTTTCACAAAATTTTCCCTCTCAATAATATTTGAAATTATCAAATTAACATCATAAACTCGTACATGTAATAATAAGCAAAATGCTTGGATATATAACATAAATAAAAAGTTTAAAATAAACAATTAAATATATTTCAAAATTAATTATTTATGTTTAGAACTTAGAATTCAAAAGTCTCTTTCTCTTATATTACCTCGAAACTCTTCATTTCAATTATTATTCGAATTGATTGTTTTCTCGCCTCTCTTATCCTCACTTGTATCAATATTCTCCAAATTTTTGTTGTCATTTTTAATTTTATTCA